CACCTTGAATCATGCCCACTTTAACCACAAACTGACTGATGCAAGAGGGATAGCAGCAGCACAAAGTCATTGGGAACTCACACCCCGGTCTGTAGTCACTAATATCCTTGGATAACTGGATGCCTCCTTCCATATCTCCAGTGAATTCTTCAGACCAGATCCCAAAAAGATGTCCCTCAGCTTGGAACAGCCCCCCCCAGCTAGCACAGCTGGGACCTCATTGAGCAAAATGAACCTTGAACTGCCTAGAAAGCCCATCAGGTTGCAATCTCCTTCTCCTGGATAAGAACCCATCTACTCCAAGATTCTTTATACTCACTTCCAGCCACCATTTGGGCATGCTCCTCCAGGGATTGGCTTGGACTGCATAAATATTCCAACTGCAGATTTAACTCTCCCAGCCCACCACTTTCCCGAACCATCCAGAAGCCAGGGGTAAACAGCCAAATCCACATCCATTTATGAAAATGGCCACATACAGTATATTATCTTATTTTTCCAAAAGGTGGACTATACTTTTAATCAGTTATTGTCAGGTGATAAATATGTCAAAAATGATTTGTCTGTGATGAAAATAACAATGCATTGGTACTACAAAAAACCCCCAAGACTCTTACTTGAAGTTAGAAAGGCTTGTTAAGTCCCCCATGAGGCATTAGCCCCTGTTAAGGTGGAGTTCCAGCTATTTTTGTGTTTATTAAAAGTCAGCAGCTACAAAAACTGTAGCTGCTGACTTTTAATAACTACAACAAACACTTTACTCCTGCGCTAGGAAAGGACTCAGTAGACCCAATAGGAATGTCCTGGAATTTTCTGGAATATTCACTGCTTGCTGCCCTCAACAGACCGGGGTGGTCCGAATACACTGGATACAAATGGAGAAACAGAAAAGGGGCGCACCGACCTAGTGCATTATCGTTTAAAATAATTTATTAAAAAAAACAAAAATAGGTATCATACTCACAATGGACCCCTGGATGACCAACTGGCTAACGCGTTTTGAGGACACAAGCTCTTCATCAGAGCAAGGTTGGCTCTCACGAAGAGGTTGTGTCCTCGAAACGCGTTAGACAGTTGGTCATCCAGGGTTCCATCGTATGGACTCAGATGTTGTTTGGATCATACATCTTGTTCAGTTTGACATGCCTGTGTTACTATGTCCATTGTGAGTATGATACCTATTTTTGTTTCTTTAATAAATTATTTTAAACGATAATGCACTAGGTCGGTGCGCCCCCTTTTTCTGTTTCTCCATTTTTAATAAACACACACTTACCTGTCCTGGAGTCCAGCGATGTACTCACCTGTGCAGTCCCTTCTCTCCTCCACGGCGCCGGCATCTCTACTGTGGGCACCAGGCTGTGTCAGTTTGCGGCTTCACAGCCTGGTGCCCACTGGGCATGCGCAAGTTGCGCCGATCCTCCTGATTGGTCCGGCAGTCTCCTGCGACCTGTGAAAGTTCCCAGGAGACTGCGGGAGCAAGGAGGGGGCCGAACTTCCGGCATACTTGCCATGGCGAACTGAGCTAGAAGTGGGAGTGGGTACCTGTAAAAACCAGGTATCCGCTCCCCCCTAAAAGTTGCCAAACATGGCAGTGGAGGGGGGGAGGAGGCAAATAAGCAGAGCTTCCACTTTTGAGTGGAACTCCGCTTTAAAGTCGGTGTTGTGGTTTAGAAATAAAATGCCATTTTTATTACCATCAATGCTGACTGTAGCTTCTCTCCAGGCAGAAGCCCAACTTATGGGTGTTCCTATGGGGGAAGTACAGTCAGCACTGAAACCACTGCCCCTTTAAATTTTTCAGCCCTCCTTTTCATGCATCCCTGTGATTCCTCTGTTCTATTGACTGAGACTGAGCTCCCAACCTCCCACAGCCCCCCTCTATTCTGCAGCCCTGCCTCTTCTGCTACTGGTAAAAGACGGAGCCCCATACCTCCTGCAGCCACCACCGAATTTACAAGAGATGACTACATGAGTAGCTAGCAGCTTGTGTTGTGTGAATGACAGTGGCTGGGGAGCAGTGCCAGTCATTCACAATAACACATCACTTACTGACTATGCAGCCTCTTTTCCTTTTAGTTCTGTCCTATGTTTCAGTTTAGCTCCTTCCCGCCTGGGGAAGGAGCTAAACTGACGGCCGAGAGGGAACCCTACCTTCTTGGGGGGACGTGATATGATGTCCTCCCAGGATCACGCAGCGCGTGTGCCCCGCAGGCCGCACTTCAGCACGATCTGTCAATGGCTGTGTCCACTGGACACGGCCGATGACAGATCACTACACCGGCCGCTGCCTTGTGATCACTGTGACCAATCACAGCAGATCACTTGACAGTTGTAAACAATGAATGGCTTCCTTTCATGCCATTCATTGCTTAGAACAGTGCTGCGAGCTGTGATTGGTCAGAGTGATCACAAGTACAGACTGGGCCAATCACAGCCCATCTGTAGCATGTGATCAGCTATGGCCAGTCATAGCTGATCACAACAAAAACTACTGAATGAATCAGTTTTCATTCAGTAAAAATGCTTGCTTATTTCAATAAAATTCATTGGTAAAAACAATTACAATGTGTAAAAAAAAAAAATACTAATTACTTGCCCAGAGTAGCACAATGTTACTATGATAACATTGTATTGCTCTGGTCACAGGAGTAGGAAAAAAAAAACCAAAAAAAATTAAGAAAACATTTAATAAATTAAAAAAAATGTAAAAATAATAATTTTTAAATTTCTATTTTATTTATTTTTACATACTGTCACCAGTCAGTGTCCCTGATCATGGCCGCACCAGTTATATGATGACGCTGTAATGCCATGGTAACAGTATGTAAAAAAAGAAAATTGTGTAAAAAACGTTTTTTTCATTTTCAACAAAATTATGACAAAAAAATGACAACTTCAAAAAACACGCCATGCCTCTTACTAAACACTTTCTGAAAAGTGGTCATTTTGAGGTATTTGTACTGTCCTGGCCTTTTTGGGCCTCAAGAAATGAGATCAGCCGTCAGCACATCAGGACTGATCAATTTTTAGATATATCCCATAGTTTGTGGACTCTATAACTTTTCTACAGACTAAATAATAAACACCTATTTGGGTTATTTTTACCAAAGACATGTAGCAGAATATATTTTGGCATAAATTTGTGTAGAAAGGTTATTTATTTGCAAAATGTTATAACAGAAAGAGAAAAAAAGAACACATGTTATTTAAACATTTTCGGTCTTTTTTCGTTTATAGCTCAAAAAATTAAAAAAAAATTATAAAAAAAAGTCCTATGTATACAGTGTTGCATGACCACACAATTGTCATTTAAATTGCAACAGCACTGAAAGGAGAAAAAGTGACCTGGGCAGGAAGGGGGTAAAAGTGCCCGGTAGACAAGTGGTTAAGCTGGTTCCATGATCATTGTCCCAGGTTTCCTGTTTCAGAGTGGCTGCTTTTGCTTGCAGTGCCTTAAGAAGCTATCCTGGCATGCAAGGACCAGAGTTGTGTCTCCTTACACAGTGTGCATCACAACACAGCCCCATAGACTAGGATGGCTAGATACTCCCCTGCTCCTCCTCCTCCTCCCTTCTCCAAGCTAGCAGACTGACTGGAGACTGCACTGTCCACGTAGCAGTTAGAGGGTTGAGAGTCTGAGACAAACCATTTAATACTGATGGAGTGCTTGCAATAATCAAATTTTATTTAATTAAAGTAAAACCTTTATTCCAAAGTAACAAACCAGTTGCTGACTGCTTATAAAGTGTTAGCAGCAGTGTGGCTTCAATTTGTTAGTGTGTCTAAATCTGCTAGCAGGGGCGGACTGACATTTAGAAACACTGCCCCGGGTCAGTAGGGGGCCCCCCCCTGGTACCTTTTTCATAGGCTTTTTTGAGTTTGGGCAATGACACAGGGGCCCCATGATTCTCTATTGCCGGGGACCCCATGAGATGCCCATGTGACTAAGTTTGACAATGCTGCTGTTTTTGATGCCACCTTCATCTAGTGGGGGCACTCTATGTGGATGCACACATGTGCAGTGCGTATTGAAGACCCTTTTCATAGCAAATTGACAAAGTAGTTGTTACGCGGTTCAAGTCAGGTTTAGATCAGGACCAGGTCATGATTTTATCCTGTTCACAACTCAATAACGTGAGATTCAGAAGTGTTCCCATAGAAGTCAATGAGCCTGAATTCGCACCTGAAACAGACTGCAGTGCTCAGAAAACTGACAGGATTCCATTTCAATTCGCCTAAATCTGCACCAGACATATATGAATGGTCACAATCGAAACCAATGTTATTTCACATGTCCTGCGAATTGGATGCGGTTCAAAACGCATTCAATTCGCATATATGTAAACCAGCTCTAAGGCCCCTTTCAAACTGGTAGATTCCACTCCGATCAGCAGGGGACCTATGAGCTGATCCCCTGATGATCTGAACAGAGCGGGATGGATGACAAATCCGTGTCCACTCAGTTCATGCAGAGCAAACACAGACCCCCTATGCTTTATGGGTTTGGCACAGTGGATATAAAAAGTCTACACACCCCTGTTAAAATTGCGGACCGTATTTTTCGCTCCATAAGACGAAGTCCGTATCCCCCCAAAAAAGGGGGAAAATGTCAGTGTGTCTTATGCCGAGCGTTAATATGGAGTGGCCCCACAAACACGCTGCCGTGTTTGAATACCGGGCCGGCCCCTCAGCTCTGCAGCGGGACCTTATGGAGATGACTGCTGACCTTTGGGGGTGTTTTGGGAGCGGTACCTGAATTTGACAGGTACCCGCTCTTACTTCCGCGGAGTTCCTCGATCCAGAGGCGCGCTGTTTCCCGGACTTGTGCAGTGTGGACGCTGGGTTTGGGAAGCGGGTGTCAAGTGCGCTGCCAAGAAGCGTGCTTTTTGTGAATTGCACAGGCGGTACCTGGGACACATGACAGATCCCTTAAGCCGCCATGACCAGTCACAAAGAGCAAGTGCTAAAATAAATGAGATAATTAGATAAATTGTTTGGCACTGGGCTCCGCGGAAGTAAGAGCAGGTGCCTGTCAAATTCAGGTACCCGCTCCCCCCCCTCCCCAAAGGTCAGCAGTCATCTCCTGTACTGTCCACAGTCTCTGGTCATCTCCTGTACTGTCCACAGTCTCTGGTTATCCCTGGAGGGAAGTCCGCAGTCTCTGGTCATCTCCTGTACTGTGTCCGCAGTCTCTGGTCATCTCCTGTACTGTGTCCGCAGTATCTGGTCATCTCCTGTACTGTGTCCGCAGTCTCTGGTCATCTCCTGTACTGTGTCCGCAGTCTCTGGTCATCTCCTGTACTGTGTCCGCAGTCTCTGGTCCCCCTGTACTGTGTCCGCAGTCTCTGGTCATCCCCTGTACTGTGTCCGCAGTCTCTTGGTCATCTCTTGTACTGTGTCCACAGTCTCTGGTCATCTCCTGTACTGTGTCTGCAGTCCATTAGTTCAGAATTTTTTTTCCCCTGTTTTCTGCCTCTAAAACCTAGGTGCGTCTTATGGTCAGGTGCGTCTTATGGAGCGAAAAATACGGTAATTAGATACATTGTTTCAGATCTTTTTGTCCACCTTTAATGTGACCTATAAACTCTACAACTCAGTTGAACAACAAACTGAAATCTTTTAGGTGGAGGGAAGTAAAAATAAAAAACTAAAATAATATGGTTGCATAAGTGTGCACACCCTTAAACTAATACTTTGTTGAAGCACCTTTTGATTTGATTCCAGCACTCAGTCTTTTTGGGTATGAGTCTATCAGCATGGCACATCTTAACTTGGCAATATTTGCCCACTCTTCCTTGCAAAAAAACACTCCAAATCTGTCAGATTGCGAGGGCAACTCCTGTGCACAGCCCTCGTCAGATCACCCCACAGATTTTTTATCTGATTCAGGTCTGGGCTCTGGCTGGACTATTTCAAAACTTTAATCCTCTTCTGGTGAAGCCATTCCTTTGTTGATTTGGATGTATGCTTTGGGTCGTTATCATGCTGAAAGATGAAGTTCCTCTCTTCATGTTCAGCTTTCTAGCAGAAGCCTGAAGGTTTTGTGCCAATATTGACTGGTATTTGGAACTGTTCATAATTCCCTCTACCTTGCCCCAAAGCACAATGTTGCCACCACCATGCTTCACTGTGGGTATGGTGTTCTTTTGGTAATGTGCAGTGTTGTTTTTGCGCCAAACATATCTTTTGGAATTATGGCCAAAAAGTTCTACCTTAGTTTCATCAGACCAGAACACATTTTCCCACATGCTTTTGGGAGACTTCAGATGTGTTTTTGTAAAATATAGCTCGACTTGGATGTTTTTCTTTGTAAGAAAAGGCTTCCATCTTGCCACTCTACCTCATAGCCCAGATATATGAAGAATACGGGAGATTGTTGTCGCATTTACCACACAGCCAGTACTTGCCAGATATCTTTTCCTGCAGCTTTCCTTTAATGTTGCTGTAGGCCTCTTCACAGCCTCATAGGCCAGACTCCTATTTAACATGATTTTGAATGTGATTGCTTAATTCTGACCACAGCTACATCCCCAGTTATAAGGGGTGTGCACACTTATGCAACCACATTATTTTATTTTTTTGTTTACTCCCACCCCCCTAAAAGATTTCACTTTGTTTGTGCAGTTTATAGGTCACATTAAAGGTGGAAAAAGTTCTGAAATTAGTTATCTTTGTCTCATTGTTTTACATTATGGAAACCTTACATTTTAACAGGGGTATGTAGACTTTTTATATACACTGTAAGTAGGTGCTTCCAAAGGGTTAAAAGGTTTTTTCTCTTCTGCTGTGTTATGCTCTGAGGTTTATCAGGTCAACTGTGTTTGTGTACTAGCCAAATGCTGCATGTAACTTTTTCAACATTGGTCCTTGGTTGAGCTTCTGAGTTGGTGGATCTGAGAAGGAAGGGTTAACACTGCTGGTCAGATTTTCCCACTCTTTTTCAGAAGGTTCATACCATATAAATAGAGGCTCATCAGTGCCCTATAGGTTTGTTAGGCAAAATGTAGCCATTATGGTGTTGGTCTGAGCACCCCTCGAGGGGGACTCCTTATACTTACCTCAGCCCCATGTCGATCCAGCGATGTGCATGAGAGCAGCAGCTCTCCTGGGTCTCGCTCTCCTCATTGCTCACACAACCTCAGGAGCCATTGGCTCCCATTGCTGTCAAACACAGCCATTAAGCCAACGAGGAGGTAGCGGGGTGCAGGGTTGAACCACGCTCTGTGTGTGAATGGACAATGTCCATTCACAGGAGCGCGGCTCAGGAGCAAGCCTGCTCGAATCTCCCATAGCAAGCTGGCTATTGGCAGGGGGAGGAGCCAGAACAGCTGGCAGGGGACCCCAAAAGAAGATGATCGGGGCTGTTGTGTGTAATGGTTTTTGTAAGTATAGCATGTTTGTTATTTTAAAAAAAAAATTACAACCTTTAGATTCACTTTAAACCTTTTTCCCCACAATGACCAGTAGTTGACGGGAACCAGCACTGACAGTAGGACTGATAGGAGGCAGCAGCATTGAAAGTTGTAGACTGAAAGTGCTAGGGAAAGAATATTTTTACTGGGGAACATGCCTGGATCTAGGGGCTGAGCTGTGTCCCCCCCAGATTTTTTTTTGCCTCCCAGGTCTCCAAGAGTACATCCACTGATCCATGGGGCACTTTGATGATGACAATAGATGTAAAGGGGACTCTAATAGGGACAACTGATATAAAGGGGTCCTCTGATGGGAACATTTGATATAAGAGGGACTCTGATAGAGACAGTTCATGTAAGGGTGACTTTGATGAGGCAGTTGATATAAGGGGGCCCTCTGATGTGGATAGCTGATGTAAGGAGGGACTATGATGCAAGGGAGCACTCTGCTGAGGACACCTGATGTAAGGGGGAACTTTGCTGAGGACACCTGATGTAAGGGGGCACTCTGATGGGGACATTAGATATAAGAAGGACTCTGATGGGGACAGTTGAAATAAGGTGGGCTTTGATGATGGGGCAGTTGATGTAAAGGGGCACTCTGATGTGGATAGTTGATGTAAGGAGGTACTCTGACTGATGCAGTGGGGCACTCTGATGGGTACACCTGAAGTAAGGGAGCACTCTGATGGAAACACTTGATGTAAGGGGGAAATCTGATGGGGATGATGGGACATTTGATGTAAGGAGGTAATCTGACTGACGAAAGGGACACTCTGATGGGGACACTTGATGTAAGGGGGCACTTTAATGGGGTCATTTGATGTAAGGGGGACTCTGATGGGGAAGTTCTAAGGGGGCATTCTGATGGAGACATTTGATGTAATAGGGACTCTGATGGGGACGGTTGATGTAGGGGGGCTCTCTGATGGGGAAAGTTGATGCAAGGGGCACTCTGATGTACTGGATGTAAGGAGGTACTCTGATTTAATGGGGACTTGGTGTAAGGGGGCACTCTAATTTGATGTAAAGGGGACTCTGATGGGGACAGTTGACATAAGGGGGCATTCTGATGGGGACATTTGATGTAATAGGGACTCTGATGGGGACGGATTGATGTAGGGGGGCTCTGATGGGGAAAGTTGATGTAAGGGGCACTCTGATGTAAGGTGCCACTCTGATGGGGACCTCTGATGTAAAGAGGGACTCTGATGAGAAACCCTGATGTATGGGGGAACTATGACAAGCTTGATATAAGGAGGCACAGTTTTTTTTTTTTAATTCATCCTAACCTAATTACATCCCAATACACACTAGTGTTCCCTGTTCACTCCTGCACCACCTCTTGCATAGACGGGGAGAAAACCAGACGTTTTTTTTTTTTTAGAAAAACAAAAAATCGGTTGTTCAATCGACCGACGTTACCACCATTGGTAAAAAGAAGTCAGCTGATTTTCGGCCCGTCTACGGCCAGCAAATATAATAGCGGTGTCCCTGCAGAGAGCTCCGCTATTATATTTGACAGAAGAATAGAAGAAATAGAATATGAATAAGAAGAGAAAAGAAGAAATAGAATATGAATAAGAAGCAAAATGAAGAAATAGAATATGAATAAGAAGCAAAATGAAGAAATAGAATATGAATAAGAAGAAGGAAAAGAAGAAAATAGAAATATGAATATACAAGAAAAAGTTGCAACATTGTATCTATTTGTATCCATTTCGGATACAGATGTTTCTATTCGGATACAAATAGATACAATATTGCTATACTTTTAAATGTCAAATATAATATCGGACTGAAATTCTTTTTTTTCTTCTTCTTCTTATTCATATTCTATTTCTTCTTCTTAATCATATTCTATTCCTTCTTCTTATTCATATTCAATTTCTTCATTTTGCTTCTTCTTCATATTCTATTTCTTCATTTTCTTCTTCATATTCTATTTCTTCTTCTTATTCATATTCTATTTCTTCTGCTTATTCATATTCTATTTTTTCTTCTTCTTCATATTCAATTTCTTCATTTTTCTTCTTATTCATATCTATTTCTTCTTCTTATTCATATTCTCTTTCTTTTTTTCTTCTTCCTATTCATATTCTCTTTCTTTTTCTTCTTCTTATTCATATTCTATTTCTTTCTTCTTCTTATTCTATTTATTCTTCATTTTCCTCTTCATATTCTATTTCTTCTTCTTATTCATATTCTATTTCTTCTGCTTATTCATATATCTATTTCTTCTTCTCCTTCATATTCTATTTCTTCATTTTCTTCTTATTCATATCCTATTTCTCCTTCTTTTCATATTCTCTTTCTTTTTCTTCTTCTATTCATATTCTCTTTCTTTTTCTTCTTCTTATTCATATTCTCTTTCTTTTTCTGCTTCTTATTCATATTCTCTTTTTCTCCTTTCCTGCTTCTTACTGGTCACTGCTCATGCGGATTTTTTAAAATCAGTAAAAAGATCGGCCGATTTGTCCATCATTATTGCCGCGAAAATCGGCCAAATGACAAAATTGGCCGATTTTTTTTCCAACATGACCGACAAAAAAAAGTGTCAAAGTCACGAAAAATGGGCCACCGATTACCCCACTAACGATCTGAAATTCGGCTATTTTTTTTTTGGCCGAAAAATCGCCCGCTTTTCTCCCCGTCCATGGCCTGCATCTACCTGTCAGATGTTATTTCTGAGTGACTCAGGGTAGTGAAGCGCAATGACGCCAGGTTCACATTAGTCCAATTTCTGATGCGAATGGCATTGCACAGAATGCACGGCAATGGAAGAGCCTCGTTTCTAGTGGCGGCTGTTCACATCCATGCATACCAGTTTGGGAAAGGTCCAGTGCTATTTTAGTGTGATTTTCTGGGCCATAGACTTCTATGGAACTTTGAAGCGATTTTGGTTGAAAACGAATTGC